CTTGTGTAACAACATTTACATTCGAAACGTGTTGCGATGTTTGCCACGGGCACGTGTCAATAGGGATGGAAGAAAGCGAAGGGTCGTCGGTATAACGATTAACATTCGTTATTTACAGAATTACTAATATAAATTGGGTGAAATAGCGCGGATTTCCTGAAAATTTTTAAATTTTAGAATTTTAGAATAGACATTTTAACTGTAGGATTATGGTGTGGAATTACACGATTATTGTAACTAAAATGCAATATTCAAATGCTAGAGTATCAGGTTATAAAACATTTCAAATGGTAATTAATCCGGTTAATGTTTAGTTTAATGTTAAATTAATAATTGGATTTGATTTCATTACCTATCTAGTCGGTCCTATTAATATTTAAATAGGATCAATACGTAATTAGTTACATTTATATACAAAAGTTTGATAGAGTATAATACTATTAATTTATCAAATTATAGAAGTTGTCGAATCTGCACACGATTTTCAAGGAATTAAATCAAACTCTTTTCGTGGACGAATATGCATTTATAAATGCCAACTTTGCGGTTAATCTCTCCGGAGAGAGTTTTAAGGTGTACAGTCGCAGGCAATGTATGCTTCCACTTATCAGTACTCAAACGTAACTTAAAAATTGAAATTTAATACAACTAATGAAACAATAAACAAAAGGACAGAGTAGATAAATTTTTAGAAACATTATTGTACTATAGCAATTTGCAGTTTTAAATTTGAAAATTAACAATTCGTATCTTTAATAAATAAAATTTTATCTAACTAATTGTAATTCAACCTTGCTCTGTACGTATAACGACAGGATGGTGTACTAAGACTGGAAATAAATGAAACGCACCTCCCTTTACTTTAAAGCAAAGGAAGCGTACGTTGCCGTGGGGTGTACACCATAAGCCAGGGTGCAGCAGCCGTACGTCACGAAATAGTGCTTGTACTCGTGGCACACGTAGTCGTCGTGGCTTTCGGTACCTTCGTGGAAGTATGTGTACTTGCATGCAAATATTTAATTAAAGCAGCGCTAGTAGCAGCGGCATATGTGCTCGTCCCCGGTATGTCCGTGCATCTATGTTCGAGGGGGTGGTAGGGCGTTGGTACGGGATCGGCTACCACCCCCGCCACTGTAAATATATGATTATGCATGAGGTTTGGCGGTACTGAGTGCACTTTCACAGCCGCCGTACTGGCAACGCCGGCGTATTAACCCCCCGGCCGGGGTGTACCGCGAACGATGAATTATGACATTTTGTCGAAACCAACTGCGACACGCTGATTCGGCGGATAACGAAGCAAGTTAAAAGTGAGAGGGCAACCCTACCCTCTGCTCGGTACTTGAATTGTAGCGAAGTTAGAAGTGGTGAATGGGTAAGTTTAGGTGGGCTCAACGAGTGGTTCGTGGCAAGTTAGGCAAAACGGGTGCACGTTGGTTACAAATTAACCGCAGCTCGACTACCGGGGTTTTGTGCACAGCCGAAGGGGTTAAGTGAACTATTATAAACTAAGCAAAATCGTTTGGTGACCGCTGGTTGAACCGGAGAGTATCTAATTACAATGTTTAATAGATGCAAAAAATAGTAAATTCAAATAATAAAATTTATAGATAGTTTAAAATTTATTTAAACAAAAAGCTGAGAACAGTCTTTTCGCATTCGTAATGCAAGTGGTACTTCCTGACTTGCCAGATCGGAAAAGTCACGTGCTGTGTCTACCACCTTAGCAGCGAGTAGTAACGGATAGCGAGAGTCAGCCAAACGTTTTAACGATCTCTATAACCTGCTGACTGAACAACTCGACTGCCCCGACTTATGCATCCGAGCATCCACATGTTTCTCTGTCGTTTCGAAGCAGGAAAAGTATAATAACGCGATAAACTCGTTTCCATCCGCGCTGCACTCAGTCTGCTACCTACTTTTCGCCCTCTCTGATGCGCGTGTAATAAGCCTTGAACACATTCCGCGTTCTGCAACACGTCCGAGGCATCCGGCCGGTTAGCAGGGCGTTTAAATCGGTGCATAGGCTTGCCAAAAGTTTATCACGGATTAGCCCCGACATCGTGCTCCATTTTGGTAGTAAGGAACGAGCCATGGGGAAGACTAGGATAAGCAAACCGGTAAACGAGTACACTGGTTGATGCCGGTGGAAGGGGGGAGGGGGTTAGCTCTAGTACACCAAGGGTGTCTACCCACTTGGCTACACACTCATCCTCTCTTCTCGACGAGCGAGCTCCTGCACGTTCCAGCGAGTTCAACGAGGCAACTGCTTATGGCGTCATAAGCAAGCTCGCGAAACGCTCGTCGTCATCGTCCCCGGCCCGTTTTACCTTGGCCCGAGGATGGTTCAAGTCGTCGGTTGATTCCATTCTGGAATGGTGCACGCTCCCCCGGGTCATCCGACCGTGCACTCGGGGGGATGAAGACGTTTACGTGGGTAAACCTCGACGCCTTCAACGAATTTTCTGCGAGGATTCCGGCGCACCCTTGCTCCTATCCGCTGCGATGAACAGCCGGGGCGACCTATCTCACCGCGTTACCCATCCACGTCGTCGTATCGGGAGCTGTCTGCCGCAAAAGAGGAACCGGACGATTTTAAGGTTGAAACGTGGAAACGGCGCAGGAAAGAAAGATGCCCGGAACTGTACGCCGACTGGGACGCATCGTGCCGTATGAAAGAAGTTTTCTTACCCGACCCTCCGGAAATCGCTCTCCCGGGGAACGATACGCACGGCCCACGGAATCGGCAACTTTTGCGGTTAACTTTGTTCGAAGTTTACCAGGTATTCCTACGGTGTTGGGATTCTTGTATTGTAACTGTTTCGTACGGTGTCGTTAATGTTAACCAGGCCTGGGTGAAATGGTATTTCGAGTAAAAAATAAAAATACAGGGGTTATTTAAATTAGAATAGGAGCTCTCTCCATGGTCCGTCGTTCGAGGATTAATTGTAGGTGTTAAAAGTTGATTATGTGATTTTGTCCAAGATACTTCGAGATAAGAAGGGTTCGTTAAAATTTTGAAACAAACTCTGCCTGTAATTTCAACCAATACGGCCAGAAGTAAAATAATGTAATGGCTTCGCGGAGAAGTATTTGTGATCCTTTTTCGAAATCCAGGATTCCGGAGACAACATAACCGCGAAAGCCGCCAGAGGATTTACCAACTCCGGGGTGTACTATCCTGTGAAAGTTTTCTCATGTTGAATTCAGAAAGCCATTCGTTCGAAAAACGAATACCAGTTAGATACCTACTTCATTTCAGATTTAATTCACTTCGTTTCGTCTGAGCTCTTCGAATTGGAGGAATTTATTTTAATAGTTAAATAAAAGGCAATAATAAAGAATGGATTCGTTCAGCGTTCGACTCAAATAAATTATACAATTTATTGCGCAAGCTTTCCTGTACACAATACGTTTTTACGGTCGCAAAAGAACGGGCCCCATCGCTTCGAAGTAGAAAACTCGACGTAACGAAACGACAAGAAAGCTGACGGAGTTTTATTCGAGTACACGACGAGGAATAAAAGTTTCCTGATGCAGTATTCAAAAAGTCGTTCTCGCGAAAACGGGTACGTGACCACATTCTATGCTTAGATTTAATACACTTTGTCTTGTTCGTATGATTACCACAATTTCGATGTAATTTTATATATCACATTATTTTAATTTTCTAAATTTCACAGTGTTCCTTAAAAAATGATTAATTTACTATTAGATATAATTTGTTGTCCTGTTATTAAAATCGTTAAAGTTTATTAATAAAATTTTAACAAACCCCTTTGCGATCGTCACAAAAGCATGTAATATTCAGGCACTTTGTGTCTTAGACTGTACACCAGAGCTTCCTGGCGCAAGCTCAAGCTTTGCATGGGGTCGGCCACATTGCACAGCTGCAAAGTACCGCATTTTCTAAATCCCACGGGTCGAAAGGCGCAAAATTCTTCCTGACAGAGCAGCAGAGAAGAATATAGGTACCGGTGCCGAGAGTTCTCTTAAACGTTTGAAAAAAATCGCATAACCACTCGCGCGAACAACGTATTTATATGGTTGTTTCACTTAAGAAGTATAACATGATTTATTTTATTTTCGAATTTAAACGGAGTGCTTTTATGGAACTTTTAATTTAGAAGAATATCAATTAAAATGCAGAACAATTAACTGTTTGCGTTAGATTTTATGCAAAGAGGGTGACTACAATTTTCATATGGACTATTATGATATATTTTCAATGTAAAATGTTTGTTAAGTGATATTATAGTGTTAGGACAAATGAATTAATCTGAATTTAACCCTTTCACGGTGAACCATGGACAGAGCCATAATTTAAATGACCGATTGATTAAATCCGAATTTAATGAGGAAAGGAACTACATAATTACCGACAATTACCTGGAATCATCAAACTCGTCGAATCCCTGAAACACGAATAAAGAGGGGAAGCGAAGCCTTTGTTGAAGCAGCACTTATGTGCAACGAGTTCCGGTAACTTGCAGTGAATTAATTATGATTGTGTTAGGATCCATAGTGTGTATCGTATCAACTATTATACGCTCAACGAGGTATCCTGATGTAAAATCAGGAAGCGTACCAGAGATTGACACACTTCTCGCGACAGCATGCTCAAGGATCAGCGAAATCAGTCGTTAATTACTTGGCTAACATAAACGTTCGTCTCCATTTCATTTTATCTCTATCGATCGATGCGTGTACCACGTTCATTCATCATTCTTTTTAACCGCGTGCGGTTTTCCTTTCATCGAGCTTCACCAGCTATAATCATTGGCATAATTAGGGAGGGGTCAATCGTGGACATTCACCATTCTAAAATTAAAAAATTAAAAAATCTTGGAATTTCAATACTTCAGAACTCTAAAATTATAAATTACCAAAGTTCCGAAGTACCAAAATGTAAAAATTTCAGAATTTCAAAAATATTTAAATTCCAGAATTCCAGATCCTAAAAATTCCAAAGCTCCATAATTCTAATTGAAATTTTTCAGGTTCCCATCCCATCCCCTAAGAAGGACATAATTATATCTCCACCGGAAGTTCCAATCGACGGAAGTTTTTCGAAGCCACCCCTCCCAGCCTTCTTCGCGGGAATTGAACAGGTAGGAATCAATTAAATATGAAATTCGTCGGCGTGCAACGCAGCCGTCGTGCGTGCGTTCCTAATAAACGAACGAGAAAAGAGTAGAAGAAGTAGAGGCCGACACACTATATCTGATTTATGTGGAAAAATAATGATCCACGCTCGAACGACTTCTCGTTGGTTAATCAACGAACGATTTTTCCTCTCAGCTTTTCCCGTGAAGGACGCGTAGCAGGGAAACGCGAGACGCGCTCCAGTGGTTCGCGAGAAACGAGCAGTAAAAAGGGCCGTGAGGATAATAGGGTCCCGGGTACAATAACGTGTGATCAAAGGGAGAGTGTCTAGTTATCCGAGTGCAACGGCACAAAACATACGGAGAATCGCGAATCGATAGAGGTGAAATCGTGTTGGCGAGGGTGCAATGCGGCAATGGTTCACCCCCTCCATACCCGTTAACCTTTCTTCTTCATCTCTCTGTTTCTCCTTCTATCTGTCTCGATATCTCTTCCCATCTTCCAATCTCTTCTCTCTTCAGTCGTCTCCTTTCATTTCTCTTCTTTTCCCCTTCGACGTACCCCTGTTTCCCTCTAACCCACCATTTCCTCTTCGTGTACTTTCCGTTTTCCACCCTCCTTCCGTTTTCATCCGGCCGGCTATATCTGTTTCCCTCGAAAATTCAACCTCCTCGTTTCTCGCGTTCGTCGAACGTCTTTGTGGTGGATGTGAAATCAGCAGCCACCCTGCTTTTACAGTCACCCTCCCCCTCCCTATCTACCACCCTGCCGAGTTTCCCCCGCAAGAGACCAGTTAACGTTCGCGGTGAGATTCTTCCTTTCTCGAGTTCTTCACCGTTTCCGTTGGTTTCATCGAAATCGTTTGGTTTAATCAGAAATCTTGATGGAGCCACTCTGCGGCTGCGGCGAACGGCCATGGTTACCTTAACCTACCTGGATGGATAAGAATTTGATAACGTTTCTTTGTTTCGATCCAGTTTCGGTATTATTAGACGCGATCGATCCTTCCAGCAAGATGGAAGCACGAAATTAATGATTGAAACGCGTGGGACGGAACGAGGATGTTTACTCACCACGAAGATATTATCGTCGACTGAAATAACGTTCGCGTTGGGGACAAATGGTGATTACTTGTAAAACAGATGAAACGTGTGAACAATGTAATTGTACGGTTGATAGATGTCTGCTATTAATTTTATTGACAAGTTTAAACTTGTTGTTGGACATTTTTCTAAACTACAGAACATAGATTAGGTCAGGTTATATTTGATCCTTATGAATTTGCATTTACTGAATTAACGCTTTTAAAAAGCAATTATGCTTAAATTAAATTTTAATTAGTTCGACGGCAGCATAATTTTGCAAACGTAAATGAGATAAATAAATTAAAATTTAAATAAAGCTATCAAAATATTTAACAGGTCGAATATTCCTCGTGTCATAAGCACTTGTCGCGGCTATTGTCAACCGGAAGGAGGTCTCAATAAGCCATCAGACGCGGTATTGTCGCGGCGTCAAAGACAATGGTATATTAGATAGTAGTCAATGGCGTGATTTGCCACGGGGAAGGATTTTGGTTAGCCATTTCACGTAATTACTGTGGTATCTGAGCGACACTTAATCCCGTTTACAAAGCATTACCTGTTAATGGATATGTCGGGTAGTACGATCACGTCGTAGTAACGACGCCGCCCTCAAAATCGAGCTACTCGATAGGGAAGCACGAATTCGTTGAAATTGAATATACATCGTCCCGCCAGTGACGGTACCCGTGCCGGTTGAAACAAAAAGCGGCTGATTTGTTTAGAACCCGAAAACAAACTGGCGGAACGTGAATACGTGTGCCGGCTAAATTTCGAGCAGTACACACGATCAACTGTGAAACAGCGTGCCTGTTACGGTAAACAGGAATTGTTACTGTCGCGATTGTTCTCGGTCCGGCTTTAATCGAGTGGCAAATACCTTGGTGCAACGAAACGACGCGAAAGTAAACTGACTGTTTTTTTTTGTGTTGCTAGAATATATTTCGAATTGGGATTGCTATATGTCTGGAAAAATTAATTGCACTTTAATTATATTACCATCATGTACCAAATGATTTATTGATCGAATCATGTTGGTATGGTAAAAAATGAAAATAATGTGAAATACAAGATTATATTAGAATTGGGCTTCCTCCATGGTCCGTCGTTCATTTGATTTTCTTCGATATCAAAAATGACCTACTTCTCTATTTCTCCTTTGTCAGTAATTGCTTTTAAGTTCGAAAGAAGAATTTGCTTCGCCAGCAATCTTGATCCCGATTGAGGGATGTAGTTGCGGTCAATTTATAGGATGACCGGAAATCCTTAGCGACGATCAAGAAACTGTCTTGTCTAACGGTTTCGTGTCTGACCGATCGTCTGAGGTCCGTCATTTGCCGGGCGTCGTAGAAACTTGGTCTCGTAAAATCGAATGGACGAACTTGGCTGTCCGGTAGCACGGGATCAGGCTCGGTGTCGTATAAAATAGCGTAATGCCCGGGGTACGTCGATCGGAATCAGGTGCAGCCAATTTGGCCGTCGTCCAAAACCCTTGCCATGTAAATCCAGTTTGGAAGCATCAACGCTGATGGTAGCGGAGATCGAGCAGAATAGCATGCTCTCAGCGGTCAGGGTCGATCAGCCACGGTGCGCAAACTTGTTTTTCGTTCGTTGCACCTATAATCCCAGTCGAACCCTGAAAAATTTCTTGTTGCGCCCGCGTTAGACCGGGTTACTTTGGAATTTGTGCGATCGGACAGTAACGAGCTAGTTTGGCTATCGATTTCACTGCCTCGTATTTTCCTATCTATTTTTGAAATATTCGAGTAGAGGATTTATAGAGAATAATTATTACGAAAATTTTATTTCAATAGGATTAGAAATGGCGGGTGACCCTAATCAAGGTAGCTAATTAGAAAATTATGACGAATTGAATTTCCATAGAAATTCATCACCTTAACTCTTAAATAAAAATTTTTCATTGATATCTAGAAAGCGAGATAAGGATGAAATGTCACAGCCCAGCGGGCACATCTCGTTACAAAATTTCGTCTAACCGGGTTAAGTACAAAGGGTCGTCGGGTTGGAAATCGGATCGAAAGCTTCGAATTGTTCTCTTAAGTTCAATGCGGCGCGCTGATAACAGCGTCAAAGTGCAGCTCAGACCGCTGTTCGATTTTATTTCTCCCCTTTCTTGTCGTGTGACCGGCTTCGCATTTTCCAAGAGCGTGGTTGCGTGCAATTTCTCTGTCTTCCGTAACTTTCCTCTTGCCGAACCACCCCACCCACGTCCGCCCCCTCGCCCGGCATTCTCACGCGAAAGTTCCGTGGCACGACAAACGGCTTCCTTTTATTAACGTTCAACGCCGGCAAATACGTCAGACGTTCCTCCATTTTCCGGTCCACATCCAACGTGAATTTCCATATCGAGGCATTAACGACGGAAGTGCAAGCTGCTCAACGACGATAAAAGTAAACGTCTCGAGGAAAGTACCGTGTGAACCTCATGGGCGACGAGCACGCGATCTCTTCAGCATGACCGCGTGTGTACACAGAACAGCACCGGTTCCCATGTGTGCAACGAGAAAGACGGACTCACCTGTGCACGAGATATCTGACGTGCACACACGTATACGTATACAACTTTAAACGCGAGGTTGATGCACAGAAAACGAGCGAAGAAAAGCACTGGAATCGGTGAAATAGATAGTTCGATGAAGCTTCTGAAGCTTCGAGTTCAACCGTCAGATTTTATTCGTCGTCTGGCGATTTTTACTGGTGTACAGATGTGTGTGTTAAACGACAGGGAGTTCAGATTGTGTACAGTGCTAAGTATGGTAGAATTCCTTGAGGAAAAATATGGTGTAAAGGAAGGAAATCCGACAAAATTACATTAAAATTAGAATTCTCTCCATGGTCCAAAGGTTAAAGATGCTTAAAGTTGTACGCCTGTAACTTATGCAGTAAGGGCTGCGCGAGGCTTATATTGGATTTTAGGGAAACCTCCCTAAACTTCTTGTTAGCTCGGTATGTTACCCTTCAAAGATATCTTGAAATTTTCATCAATTAGTATCTTTATTTAATATCATCAGGATATTTCATCATTTCTGTCATCTGCATTTTTAAGTATCTATGTAATACCTTTAATTAGGTAAATGAAATATCCCGTGATAATTCCTATGAAAATTCAACGAGATTCATATACGAGTGACACAGCAGTGAGTGCATTAAATCACGAAATGTCCGAAAATTTTCCCTCCATACAAATTTCCATTCACCGATGGATAGTTAACAGTTCCAAAATACCCGTATGAAAATCCAGGACATTTATGCGAACCTCGAAGGTACTTTCCAATGAAGCACGCGATATCACGGTGCACGCAGCCGGTGAAATGAATGCAATCAGTTCTATCTCGAAGCTGATTAGAGCTTTACACCCTCCATTAACACGATACTCCAGTTGAGTGATTTTACCCGGAAATTTACTACCTAGCTAAGAGAACGGGGCTGTACATCAACGAGGCTAAAGTATCCTGAACAGACGGACGTACGTTCGCCACTCGTACAATGGGCGTTCGAATGTTTTTCGAGTGTTCCCTGAATGGATTTCGCCCATCGTCTCGAAGGGAAGAGGCTACGGAGTGAAGGACAATTTCACTAAAATTTGCACATGTGAGTGGGAAACGATTAAAGGGAACGTTAGAGTCGCTCTTTCTTCACCCTCCCCCATCCCCGTCGCGCTACTATTTCGTCCTAGATTGGGTGGAACTTGAAGAGCGTCGCAATCGCGTAGTTTCTTTTACCCCCATCGGGACCACCCCGCGTGGAAAAAGAACCTGCGGGCGATTAACACCTCGTTCGGTTCGTTACGACACCCTTTCAACACCTCCCTTACCCTCGTGTCACCCCTTCTTCTTTTCCTTCTTTTTTTTCTTTTTTAACTGGTAAAAGGAACTCGAGGATCGTGACGGTTCACTTTGCCA